ATTTCAAGAGTCATCTTATGTACTGAACTGATCACTGTGGATTTGATTCGTTCATCTATTTTGTGTTACTGACGAATCAATGTTGATTAATTTTTTCCTATTTTTTCCATATTTGCACAATAATATTTTCAAAATTGTTGTTTTTATCATAATTGTCTTCTTAGGATGAAGAACAACAAACTCATTGATCAAGGGATCAATTTCAAGACGTCAGAGAAGGTGGGAATTGGGGAACCCTGACCAAACTACTTAGCTGATGAGGTTTTTTGAAATTAATACTTTTAGTGCAGTGAAATTGCTGGATATTTCACATCTGAAAGCATTCTAAAGCGTCGATTCTGTCAGTTATAAAGCATATTTAGCCCCATTCAAACAAATTACAACATTTAATAAGTCTCTTTGACTATGACAGACGAAAGAATCAACGATGTGAGCTTCTATCAAAACGTTTTATAATCTACGAGAATCGAAGCTGTCCTCCATCGGTTCCTTGAAAAAATTCTCCATTGGTTCCTTGAAAAAATTCCCTTAGCAAAGAGATGGATCATAGTTGACAGTTAACATGACAGTGTATGCATCATTTCGGTCGTGCAGATGAACAAATAAATGATATTTTACGTCTCTATCTGCTACTTCACTGACAATGAATATCATTCATTTTCAAAAGTTGTTCAAATCGTCATCACCGAATGTAGCACATTCCCCTCGAATATCCAGTGCATGTCGTCATCATTCAATCGTTAAAGTGGCCATCCATAAGCACTTATTCATTTCGGTTCCATCTTCTGTTGTTTTCACCGATAAATCCATATCATATTGAAATAATAGATTGAAATGCAGCGAGTGATTCATTCAATGCGCTGTTAACGTGAAGTATTTTGACGAGAGAATTTCTCATGCGTACGATTGATTCCTTCTTGAATGGTCACATCACTTTCAATACTTTAGTTCTCTTTCACCAAACTTTTCGCCAGTTTTTGCGCAATACATGTTCTGTGCGCTGCTTGCATTATGAAGCAGTCGTATGGATTGAGTCGCACATAAGCGCATTATTCTCTTAATGAGTGATGTGCAGAGTATGAACGCGCGTAATGTTCTTAATTATTCATTCCTTTGTCATTTCAAGAGGTTGTTTTCGTTGTTGAATTACATCATCTGTTGAGATTATCCCTTGAACGCATGATTTGTTGAAGCATCGAAGAACACTTTTTATCGTGGTTGACCAGTTGATGTCCTCAATGAATCCGCATAATTTTGTCATGTAAATTTAGGCATCCCGTCAACTCAGCTCATCAGTGATTCTGAAAACAGCCTCTAACAATCGCTTTCAATTTCAGTGTATTTTTCATTGAAGCATTAACCGGTTCTATTAAGTACGCAATAAATATCGATATCACGTTCCGGTAAATCCAAGAATAGTCATTTGGCTCTAGAAATACAGCAGTAAAAGAGTGGAATAAATCAGTATCCCCTATAAGAAAATAGTGAAAATTAACATGAAAAAGCGTGCGTATAGGTTGAAATGCTCTTTATTGGTGTTATTGACGATTATTTATGAATGAATGAACGATTCATAATATTCAATTAATGGAATATATATATATAATTGTACAATACTTTCAATGATCAATCACATTCAATCAACCAAACATTCATTACATTTACAATATCGCATTCATTTCCGTTAAATGATGCAGCAGCTCAGTGCATTTCCTCATCGTCACTTTGACCCATCCATATAATAATATCTACTATGCCCTTTTGTATATGTATTCTTCGAACCCCTCTCCTCTCTGTTCCTCTCAGTCACAATACATCCCATCTAACCATACCCTCACATCGCCACTCATTCATACCCTCAATCAATCGAAACGTTTGCACGCTGTGGACGTAAAACATGTGCACCATTCATTCTATCGTCAACATGTTTTGCTTCTTGATCGTTCGCGTTTTTTGTCGTTTCGCTTTTTTATTGCATTCTTGCGAAAGTTTAGAATTCGTATTCATTGCAGGAATTATGTTCTTTGTTAAAGAACCGTTTTTTACGTTTAAAACACGATTTTCGAGGTTGCATTCTCATTTTTAGCGGTGTTTTTGTCCTATTTTCTTGCTGCACATCCGGAATATTTCCTGCAAACAATCCGAGTGCGTATTCATGTTCAAGAATTACGAATACTTTGCAGTGATGTATAAATCTCCAATGTGCCAGACATTATTTTGAAGTTATGCAAACGTTCGTTGTAAAAACGAGAAGCAAATTTGAAAGGTTCCTTTCCGAAATACAATTCATATTTTAATGGAATTATTTGTTTTATGAGGTTATTTGTTTTGATTCAATTTAACGTCGGAGCAGTTTCCAATAACATTCCCACTATTTTTTTAGTTATTGAACAGTATATAGCATTTTTCGTTCCATTGTGAACAAAAGGTATGGTCGCTTCTGGGAAATATTCTTCTTTCATTGTTTCCATGTTTGTGTTCTTCATTGTTTTTATGTTATTTTCACGAACTTTTTTCAATTCTTGGGAGTTCGTATTGCTTCTGATTCGTTGAATGTACAAAAAAGTTAGAGATTGTTTGAGGTTTTTTTCTCACGCTTCGCATGTCTTTTGAATATATCACTCTATCAGTAAGTGTTCAATCGAATACTTCAGATATGTCTAATGATTACTCGATGTTATCAATTGTTTTCTTCGTTGAAAGAATATCAGCCGCTAAAATGCCCATTCAGAACCTAAGAAATGACATTAAGGTGCTCGTGTAGAATGATCAAATGCAGTTGAATGTGTTGTGC